AGTGCCCAGGGATGTGCAATTTCGGGTGGATTGGCCGTGCTAAATTGCCCCGTAGTGCCCAGGGATGTGCAGGTTAGGGTGGATTGGCCACAGTGAATGTGAGGTTACAGGAATAGGGTAGGTTGTATATCTGGGTGGAACGCTGTTTGGAGGGTTAGTGTAGATTCAGTGGGCCAAATGGCCTGCTTCCACACTGTAGGGATTCTATGATTTGGAAGGAGAACAGTAATTCCCCAGGGTTTCTTCCTCGATCAGCATCATTTGCTTCCAAAAAGGCGATGTTTTATCGTTCTGCTGGTTGGCCGTATGGAGATCAGCTGACACTTCAGGTTCTCCGGCTCCCAGTCTCCTCCTGGGCAGGGTCACAAATGTTTCAGCAAGACCAGCTGGCCATTGAACAGACGCCAGACTCGAGCGTGCTTTGCCTGTCTCAGGATAATGTTTTCCATGCTATAGGGCTGCTCCCTTAACCCTTTGTGAAGTTTTTTTTAAACATTTCTTTTTTGGGATGTGAGCTAGTTAGACTTTGTTGTGTCTCAGTGCAGAGTGCTGTTAAAAGTCAACCACGTCGATCTGGGATCAGGAGTCACATGTAGACCCTGACCAGCTAAAGGTGGCAGATTTCCTCCCCTAAAAAATCAACAGCCATTGCATGGTCACTGTCACGCTAGGTTTTAACTCCAAATTTTTATTCAATTGTAATTTCACCATCTGCCGTGCTGGGATCCAAACTTGTGTCCCCAAAACTTAAGCCTGAGGTTCTGGATTCCTGCTCTAGCGACATTATTGCTATGCCTACAGACTCCTCCTATCAAAAGGAACACACACTATATGGTTATTTGAAGATACTCTGATTGGTGTGATTATCTAAAAGCAAGACGAGACCACTCGCTCCTTGGGCCTGTTCAACTTTCAGCATCCTGGGGGATTGCGATTGATCAGGAACTGAACTAGCCATATGAATATTGTGGCTACAAAGCTGGTCAAGCACCTCCTGACTCCCCCTTAGCCTGTCCCACCATTGACAAGGCACAAGTCAGGAGTGTGATGGAATGCTCCCCACTTGCCTGAATGGATGTAGCTCCAGCAATTGAAGCTTGACACCAAGCAGGATAGGCACCATGTCCACAAACATGCACTCCCCCAACGCTTGGCAACAGCAATGCAAGGTGCAAGGGCAGCAGATACATGGGAACACCAACCCCTGCAAGTTCTCCTCCAAGCCACTCCCCGTCCTGACTTGGAAATATATGCCATTCCATCGGTGCCGCTGGGTGAGAATCCTGGAATTCCCTCTCTAATGGCCAAATTTGGTTTACCTATACCAAACAGTGACTGACCCCTCCAGATTGCAAACTGACCGTGGCTTCTGTGTGTTTTTTTTTCTCTTCCCTTGCGCAGTGTCTCGTCCTCTATCCCCTCCGTGGCCTTGCCCGCCAGAGACGCAGTGCCAGGGACTGGAGTAACAGCAGCTTCCGACGGGCAGACATCCACCACAAACAGTGAGGAGGACCCACTTGCTGGTATGCGACACTAGCTTTGAACTTTGCCTCGCGTCTGCCTTTTAACTTACCCTCCCTACCTGCCGTGCAGAACTACAGTCGTCAGGTGTCTGCAGGCTTCCTTCAGTAGGTCTGTCAGTGCCCTGCGCTCCCTGGGTTGTCGCTCATAGACCGAGTGACAAACCCGACTCAGCAGAGCAAGGGATGCCAATGAGGATAAACACACAGCCATCCACTCAAAAAGGGTCTTTGGTGTGTGCGCTGCTGTATTCTCCTCCCATTGGATCTCCCTCAGCCCGGCCTGTCAGCTCGCCTTTCTGTTCTTTTAAGCTCATACATGGGCACAAAATATAAAGTACCTGTTTCTCACAAGCGTGGATCCCCTGCAGGACTCTGGTTGGAGCGACATGGTAAAGAAGCAGCAATAGAGATTGACAGAAAGCAGTCTGGAAGCCGAGGGATCTCAGCAGGTCTGGCAGCATCTGTAGAGAAAGAAACAGTGTGAATGCTTTGACTCCAAGATGACTCCTCTTCAGCTCCCGTCGGAGCTGAGATGTGAACTCTGTTCTTCCCTCCAGCGATACTGCCCCCAACTGCTGAGTTTCTCCAGCATCCACGGTACCTTTTTGTTTGGAAGTTGGGAGTGGGTGCTGTTGGGTTGGTTAACGGTGTCACCAAGCCCCCAACAGGGTAGATGATACTCCCATGGCAGAGACCCTGGGTGCAGTTCCTGAGCCACCTCCTTTTGGCCAGTGTCCCACACTGTCTGCCAGGGACTGACACTGATGTTGGTTCTTGCATGTGATGGCCTGAAGAACAGAGGATGGGGAAAACACTGGTTCGCCACTGCACAGGATGGAGCAGGGCCAGCAGCCCATAAAGCTGGCCGTCCTGTCTCCTGGCTGTTGGGGGGTGCTGCATCATGGTGTCTGTGCCTGGGGGAGGAACACTCAGGGAGCGGGGGGGAGCTGAGAGACCTCCTCTCCAGCATTGCGACCGTGTTGCTGCAGCAGTAGTGCCCTACAAGCCATGTTTGACAGCCTTCTCTCACTTTCTTTTTTTTCTCTCTTGCAATCTCCCCGTCTTCTCGCTTCCCCCTCACCACCTCTCCCTGGCATGTGCGCTCCCCCCTCTTTTCGTTCTCTCCCTCTCTCTCCCTTGCACGCTGTTCCCCCTCTTCTCCGTGTCTCTCTCTCGCGCGCGCGCGCTCACCCCCTCTTCCCCCTCCCCCTCCCCCTCTCCCTCTCTCTCCCACCCCCTCATTTTGCTCCAACAGGGATTAGCTTACCGGAGGGTGTAGACCCATCCTTCCTGGCTGCCCTGCCTGAGGATATCCGCCGCGAGGTTCTCCAGAACCAGCTGGGGATCCGGCCGCCGAACCGTGCAGCAGCCACGGTGGCTGCCTCTGCTGCTGCCGCCGCCGCCGCTGCCGCTGCCACGCTGGTCGGTAACCAGGGTGTCACAGAGGTCAGCCCCGAGTTCCTGGCTGCACTCCCACCGGCCATTCAGGAGGAGGTAAGGAACCTCTCTTTCTCACTTGCTTTCTAAAAAAGCAAAGCCGTTCGCTCCCCGATTCCGGCCTGTCTGCAAGGAAGGGCACGCCGTCTCTCCGGGGGAGCAGTTTGGAGGTAAAGCCCTGCTGGACAGTTTGGGGGGATGGGGGTAGTTTCTCATCAGCCCTGACTAATATCGTCATCACCTGGTCATCTGGACCTTGGGTTCTTTATGTAGAAATTGTGATGTTTCCAAGTCAGAACGGAAAGCCATTACCCCACTCCGCTCTCTCTGTCCCCCCAGCCCCTCCTTCTAGTCTCTGCTTCCCTGGGAACAGCCATTACAAATATTCAGCATCCTCCTTTGCTGTCTGCAGTGATTTCAGTTCCTCATTCCCTCTCCCCTGTGCTTTTTTTTTGTGTTTTGTTTTATTCTCCACCTCTGTTAGATGCTCCGGTTTGAATCCAGGGTTTGGTTTGTGCCCCTTGCAGCCCGGGGGCCCAGGGGTGGGACCTGCAGCAGGTCAGGAAGGCAGCTCACCCCCACCCTGTGAAGGGAACAGTTGGGTATGGGTGCTAAATGCTGGCCTGGCCCGGCCCGCGACGCTTGTCTGTGAATTAATGTTCGACCAAAACAAACGGCTGATGGTCACTGTGGTTGATGCTCTGGATTAAGAGGCAGCCTGGGATCATGGCGTCACGTACATAGCTGAGTACCCTCCTCTCCTGATCCTGTGTGCGTTTACGTACAGAATCTGAAATCCCAGCCCTTGATCCTGATCTTGGCCCTTTCCACAGACAAAGGCCCCAGCTGAAACCCTGTCTCTCCAGCGTTGCTGTATCGGGCAATCTAATACTCTGTCGTCGCGCAGTCTTACCAATAAGGCAACCCTTTCACCGTTCCACCTGCTTCTCCACCGTGATCGCCCTCTGTCCCAATTCAGTCATGCCTCTCTCTCTCTGTCCTTCTTCCCTCCAACCACTCCCCCGCCCCTCAAAATCCTGGCTGTGCTCTCTCTGCACGCCTCCACCGCACCTCCCCCCCCCCCCCAACCCCCAGCCTTTCCCCACCCCCCCTCCTAGTACAGTGTGTAATGTTTTCTCTCTCTCTGTCTCTCTCTCTGCCCGTTCCATTTGGCGTCCTCCAGGTACTGGCCCAGCAGCGAGTAGAGCAGCAGCGGAGAGAGCTGGCGCAGACGGCCAACCCTGACACCCCGATGGACCCGGTCACCTTCATCCAGACGCTGCCTTCCGACCTGCGGCGGAGCGTGCTGGAGGACATGGAGGACAGCGTGCTGGCCGTGATGCCGCCGGACATTGCGGCTGAGGCTCAAGCCTTGCGCCGGGAGCAGGAGGCCAGACAGCGGCAGCTGATGCACGAGCGCTTGTTCAGTCACAGCAGTTCGTCCGCACTCTCCGCCATCCTGCGGAGCACAGGTACCCAGCCTGCTGCCCACCTCCACCGTCTCTGAGCAGGAGACCCCTCGCTGACTCCATCAGAGGAACCGTCTTCTGCAACAAACCAAAACTGGAAATCGCTGGATAAACTCAGCGGGTCTGGCAGTGTCTGTGGAGAGCGAAAGCAGCGTTAAATGTTTCGGGTCCAGTGACCCTCCTTCAGAAAGGAGGTGCTGCCAGATCTGCTGAGTTTTCCAGCAATTTCTGATTCTGCTTCCGATTTTCCTGCATTCGCAGTTCTTTGCTGAAAACAAAGAAATCACAGGTCAGGCAGCATCCATGGAGAGGGAGCAAGCTAACATTTCAAGTCTAGATGATTTCACCAAAGTTGAAGAGCAGTCATCTAGATACGAAACGCTAGCTTGCTCCCTCTCCACATTTGCTGCCTGACCTGCTATGGTTTTTGTTTTCAGTACAGAATCCAGCATCTGCAGTAACTTGCTCCTCCACAGTTCTTTTTGGCTTTTTGTTTATTTGTTTAAAAATGGCTGCATGACACAAGGTCGAACGTACCGTCAGTGACTGCTTCCCCTTCCTGGTGTGCTCAGCTGGTTCTCTCGGTCCTCCCGACCTCCATCTAAGGCTTGGCCTGCACAGTTCCAGCTAAAGTCGAGGAGGCCCGTTTTTAAAAACGTCCTCTCTCGTGATATGTGGCCATAATTTGCCTAGGCCAGCATTTGTTACCCATCCCTAATTGGCTTGACTTGCCAGACTGCTGGAGCAGTCAGCCACATCGCTATTGAGTGTCACATTTAGGAGGAGAGCAGTCACCCTTTTACCCACACTCTCACCTATTCGCAGGTCTCCCCACCTCAGCTTCCAGTTCCTCCCAGCTGCCTGTGATGTCACTGTCGGTCCCCCCACCCCCCGCAGAGACTGGGGCGTTTGCTGCAATTAGAGCTAAGCTAGGGGGCAATTCTTGTGGAGGTGCCTAACTGCTGCCCCTCACTCCTTGCATCCCCTGGGTTTGGTGGAGGAGGGGAGTGGTGCCAGTTGTGTTCGGTACTGTAGTTGCATCCAGGCCCCCGGAGTGTTTAACAGCGTTCCTCGTAGTTGTGAGCCACGGCTATTGCAGGATGTGCTTTGATTTCTAACTCCCTGCCCCCGCCCTGTTTTGTGCCGCAGGCTTCACCGGGCGCCTGGGAGGAAACCGAGGGGTGCAGTACACGCGCCTGGCCGTGCAGAGGAGCGGAGCGTTTCAGTGGGGGAGCAGCACCCACAACAGGTACACCACGCGCAACACATTGGCAGGACCCAGGTCCCACGACAGGTAATCGGAGCAAAGCTCTGCTCCCAACACAAGGCTCGGGTCCTCGTTCTTAGCCGACTCGTCGCGCGGTAGGATTCTGCTGCTCGGAGCTGAGAAAGTGGCTGGGAGATGTACCGCGATAGGAGCAGGGGGCGAGGCCGCAATGATGTCGAGGGAATGGGGGAGCTGGTCTGTTTGTGGTTAGAGCAGTGAAGTTTTAAGGAGCGGTTTACTAGAGGCGTGGCAGGGCGTGACTGCGTCGGTAACCAAGGAGCGCAAGTTTTAAACAATTAATGAGAGAACCAGAGGGAGCACAGACGTTGTTTCTGACAGGAATTTGAGAGATCTGGAGTATGCTCCCTGTAAGTGCAGTGCAAATAGTTTCAGTAATTACTTTCAGTAGGAAATGGGGTAAATGATTGTAAAGTTATGTAGGTGGGTGTGCTGTAGGACCGTATGACTCTGTGGTCTGAATATCCACGTCTCTGTGTAAGGATTGCTTGAAGATCTGCGTCTCGAGACACAATGTCAGGGCGATGTACGGTTTGAGCAGCTGCTTTTAATCAGGGCTCCTGTTGACACGTGACCTGCTTATTCCTCCTTCCCCTTCCCCGTCCTCCTGCAGGGCATCCAGCAGCAGCAATGTGGATAGCTTGCTGCGACTGCGAGGGCGCCTCCTACTGGACCACGAGGCGCTGTCCTGCCTGCTGGTGTTGCTCTTTGTGGACGAGCCGAAGCTGAACACCAGCCGCCTGCACCGAGTCCTGCGCAACCTGTGCTACCACACGCAGACGCGCAACTGGGTCATCAAGAGCCTACTGTCCATCCTGCAGCGCAGCAGCGAGAGCGAGCTGTGCATCGAGACCCCCAAGCACCCCGAGGAGAAGGGCAAGAAAGCCACCAAGCCAGGTTCTGGCGCGCCGTCTACCGCCGCAGCGGCCCATGAGCACCGGCCGCTGGACCTGCTGCACAAGATGGAAGCCAAGACCACCAGCCAGCTGTCCTGGCTCTCCGTGTCCATGGATGCTGCCCTGGGCTGTCGCACCAACATCTTCCAGATCCAGCGGTCCGGCGGGCGCAAGCACTCAGAGAAACACGTGGGCTGCGGCTCCACTGTCCACATCCACCCTCAGGCTGCCCCTGTGGTCTGCCGGCACGTCCTGGACACCCTCATTCAGCTTGCTAAGGTGAGATCGGCTACAGGCATCCCGGGGCTGGGACAGCATGGGTTAGATACAGAGTAAAGCTCTCTCTACACTGTCCGCCATCAAATGCTCCCAGGCCAGGGACAGCACGGGGTTAGGTACAGAGTAAAGCTCCCTCTACACTGCTCCCCCATCAAACATTCCCAGGACAGGGACAGCACGGGGTTAGGTAGAGAATAAAGTAGAGATGTCAGCAATGTGGCTGACTCTTAACTGCCATCTCTGTAATTAGAGATGGGCAATAAATGCTGGGCCCAGTGAGCAAAGCCCATGTCCTGTGAACAAATTTAAGATAACCATAGAGAGAAATGGCCCAGGTTTGGGAAATCAGGATGTGGAAGTGGTTTGGGTAGAGATGAGAAATAGAGAGGTATGTAGGCCATGAGCAGTAACTACACTCTAAGATCCAATACAACCCTGGGGGCGATTGTAATCTGCAATGAGATTGAAAAAGATCTGCTGGGCAAAGGCAGCCTAGATAAGCTCATAGATGTTTTTTTTGCGATAGTTTCTTTGAGCAGCATATGCTCGAGACAACCAGAAGGGCGCAATCACAGTCAGAATAGGATTGAATTGCATGCTCAGTTTGAGGGAGAGGAGCAGGTCCGAGCCTCATGTTTTAAACTTGAATGAAGGCAGTTGTGAGGGTGTGAAGGCCGAGATAGCTGAAGCAAACTAGCAAATGAGGTCAAAGGATAGAGATTTAAGGGGTTATTTCAGCACTTTCCAACGAGAGAGAGAGAGAGAGAGAGAGAGAGTGTCACTGGGAGAGACCACACTGCCATGCTTGTCTGAACAAGTTTAAGATAGAACAGACTTGGAGGGAAGAAAACGTAATTGTGCAAAGAATACAGGCAGATCGGAACATTACAAAAAAGAAGCAAGGTATGACTAAATAAGTTAACGAGGGGAAAAACAGTGAGAAAGGGCTTGCTAGAATATAAAGATGGCTAGTAAGAGTTTCTCTAGATATTTTAGAAAGCATCACTGGAACTCTTCAAATTCGCAGAAACAGAACCTTTGAACTTTTTTTTAAGGCAGAGGTAGGGCAGTTCTTGATGAGTGCGCAAATAAACTGTTCTCCAGTATAGACGGGGATATCGAGTAATAAGATCAGCTGTGATCTTGTGGATAGATGGGATAGGCTTGAGGGGCTGAATAGCCTATTCCTGTTCCTAAATGTTGGAGGTCTGTTTAGTCCTTGGAACAATGGGCCAGGCAGAGAGTAGCAGTTTGATCAGCTGTGTAAATCAACAGTGACCATCTGGCTGTGCTTTGTTCCAGGTCTTCCCAAGCCATTTCACGCAGCAGAGGACCAAAGAGGCGAGCACCGAAACCGATAAGGAGAAGCTGAATAAGCAGTCGGCCAACAGCCCATGCCTTGGTCAGCCAGTGGGCGGAGGGGGTGGAGGTGGAGGCGGAGGACCCAGCCTGGGCATCTCCACAGACTTCTGGGACTTGCTGGTCAAGCTGGACAACATGAACGTCAGCCGGAAAGGCAAGACCTCGGTGAAAGCCACTCCATCCTCCAACAGCGAGGGCGAGAACGGCCAGTGCAGCCTGGAATCGTCGCCCCTGGGCCAGCTGATGAACATGCTCTCGCACCCAGTCATCCGACGCAGCTCGCTGCTGACGGAAAAGCTTCTGCGGCTCCTCTCTCTCATTTCCATTGCGCTGCCTGACAAGGCAACGGAGGTCGCGGTTAACCACGGTGGCACCACTGAAGTGACCCTGGTCGGCTCCGTCACATGTAAGTGCTCCCGGCCTCCGCCTCCCCCTCTCCCTTGATCCGTCTCCGTCCATCGTCGTCATCCTCCTCCTCCTCCTCCTCCTCCTCCTCCTCATCCAGCCTGCTACCCTCGCATGCGTACACACGCACACATCATGTAGCATGGAGTTAGGTTCAAAGTAATGTGTCCTTTACACTGCCCTCCGTTTAATTGCTCCCAGGCAGGGACAACTCTGCTCCCTGTACACTGTCCCCCGTCAAACACTCCCAGGGACCGGGACAGCATGGGGTTAGATACAGAGTCAAGCTCCCTCTACACTGTCCACCCCGTTAAACACTCCCAGGGACTGGGGGGACAGCACGGAGTTAGATACAGAGTAAAACTCCTGCTACACTGTTTCCCCCACCACCCCCCGTCAAACACTCCCAGGGACAGGGACAGCACGGGGTTAGATACAGAGTAAAGCTGCCTCTACACTGTCCCCCCCCATCAAACACTCCCAGGGACAGGGACAGCGCAGAGTTAGATACAGAGTAAAGCTCTCTCTACTCGTTTAAACTGAGAGTGAACTTCCTGTGTTCTTAAAGTGGAAGAAACTGGGAGTAGAGTTTCCTCAACACTTTGTCCCCAGCAAACGTTCCAAGGGCAGATGAGGTTCTGGTTAGACTAATGTTAAATGCCTGTCTCGCTGTCCTGTTAGTGAACTTAAACAGAGTTCCATGCTGGGCTAACAGCCTTCAGTGCTGAATCAGAGCACAATGCTTCATCTGAGGACTGTTACAGCGGGGGAGAGATTTGTGCTGCTTTTAACTTCCCCCGGCGGGGGCAAGTGCACTCTCTCAACTTACCTCTGTCGCTCCGTTGAATGTAACCTCCTGTCCATTTCTCACCAGCTCCTCCGAAAGCAGCCAAGTCTCCGGCCAAAGCCACGCCAGAAGGAGCAACAGGTGCCAACGAGAGCAAGATCCAGAGCTCTGGCTTGACGGAGAAACAGTTGCAGCTTTCCGTGGAGGTAACGCAAGACATTGGCTGCCTTTTGGCGTGTTTCTGTCCTGTCAGCGTGAGGTGCCCAGCGTGTGGAGCTGCTCCCGGCCCTTCTCACTCCATCTCATCCGGCACCATCAGTTTTCTCTTGGTCCTAATATCTGTCAAGGCCTCTGGGTGCCTATCCCTGTGTGGTTTGGGTTTCCTGTACCTATCGATTCTCCAGTCAGGAATGGCATCATCCAAACCACATCCCTTCACTTGGCACAGTGGGGAATTGTGTTCCCTGGCCCTTTCTCTACGTTTGTTGAAGGGTTGTTGCCAATAGTAACAAGGCCAGCATTTTTTTGCTTTCTCCCTTGACTGCTCCCACCCTGAGTACACCTGGTTGCCTGGCTGCAGCTCTTTGAGAGAGAAGTTGACAGTTAATTGCGTAGCTCTGAGTCTGGTTCCTCCATGAGCCAGACTGGGTAAGAATGGAAGATTTCCTTCCCCAATGGACCTGAGTGAACCACGTGGGGTTTTTAAGCAGAATCCAGTAGTCTTGTGGTCTCTGTGACCAGTGCTGGCTCTTTATTCGGGATTGAATTTCAATTGAATTAGCTTTATTGTCATCACTCACATGAGTGCAGTGAAAAGTTTACATGACGGCACTTACTGCGCCATCGTAGGTGCACCAGAACCTTGGTTCAAAGCAAACAAAAACAAAGCTTAAAAAGTTCAACACTACAGTCCTCCTCACTTAAAAATAGTGAAACAAAAATATTCATCACGTCAACGCTACAATCTGTAATTGCAGAATCATGCTTGACTCTCACTCCTCACAGTGACTCCACCTCGCTCCAACCAACTCGCCAACTGCCCTGCGCTGCTGCTCCTATCTCACGAGCACCCCCTCCCACCCCACCCTGGGCTTCCTGCTCTCGCTGCTACCCCCCACCCTGCACCCAGGCAACCCGCTCCCACTCTTGCTGCCAGCCACCCTCACCTTTGGGGGTTAATACGACCATGAAGCCATTGCCAGTTTGTCAGGGAAAACCCATCTGGTTCACTAATGTCCTTCAGGGAAGGAAACTGCCGTCCTTACCTGGTCTGGCCTACATGTGACTCCAGACCCACAGCAGTGTGGTTGACTCTTCACTACTCTTTGGGCAATTAGGGATGGGCAATAAATCCAGTCTCAGATACCCATATACCCTGGATGAATTAAAAAGAAACAAGCTACTTGATTCAAGGGCAGTTAGATGGGCTAGCGATAACCACAGCCTGAGAATTAATTTTTAAAGAAATATAACCACTGCGATTCCACAAATGGGGAGAATTGATGCATTCAAGAACAGCTTCTTCCCCACTGTTATCAGACTTCTGAATGGACCTCTCAAATTTTAAATTTAATATTGACCTTGCTGCCTATGCACCTTCTCTGCAGCCATAACATTGTATTCCTCGCTCTCTTCTATTACCCTGATGCACTTTGTATGGTATGATCTGCCTGTACTGAACGGAAAACAAAACTTTTCACTGTACCTAGGTACACATGACAATAATAAATCAAATCAAATCAAATCAAATCAAATTGTTCTGTAAAGATTTGGATTTTCTAACCTAACGTGGGACAGGCATTCTCCGCTTCCTGTGGTAACCTTCACTCCATCTGTTGTGTGACAGGTGCTGACCTCGCACTCGTGTTCAGAAGAAGGCCTTGAAGATGCCGCAAACATCCTACTGCAGCTCTCCAGGGGCGAGCCAGGAACCAGGGACACTGTCCTGAAACTGCTGCTCAGTGGAGCCCGCCAGCTGGGATACACACTCTGCCAGCAAATAGGTACGTTCTCTCGTCTTCTCTCATTCGCTCGTCTCCCCTTGCCCCTCGTCCTCTCGTCTCCCCTCTCGCAACTATAACCAGGTGGGGTACGATTTTTGACCTTGTCCACCCTGGTCCAATACTGGCACTGCACATCATCACTCCTCCCCTTAGCATTGTAATGACCTTTCAAACCTGTCCTCAGGCCAATTGGCCCAGTCTTTGCTCCTCTTTGCAAGTTCGCGTACCTTTCTATCATTTAGCCTGTGTGTGTGTGTGTGTGTGACTCTGAACCTGTTAGAACATTGCTACTTCCGTTATGGCCAATTTTCCCCTGAGCTCCACCTGCAGTGGGTGACTCATTGGTTGCAGTGGCCATCAGAGAATCCAAGTACAGCCGACAACTCAGCCAGTGATATCTCCGTGAATAACCACGGGGCATCTCTAGGCTTCACGGTTAACACACTAAATAAAAACCTGAAAGAACTGCGGATGCTGAAACAAGAGAAATTGCTGGAAAATCCCAGCCGTTCTGGCAGAATCTGTGCAGAGAAGTCAGAGTTAACGTCAATTTGCTGAGCTTTTCCAGCAATTTCTTGTTTTGTTTCCCAGTGAATGTACTGCTTGAATGCAGAGTGTCCGCAGCTCCACGTCTCCCTTAGATTTATCACAGAATTGACCTGCGCTAATTACAGCTGGGCTGACTGTAGCGAAAGAACCGTTCACTTCTACACCTTTCCTGCCTGTGAGCCCTGCATGTTTCTTCCCCATCTCGCACATTGTCACTTCTCTTACTTTCCTCCCTCCTTTTGGCGATTTTGAGTTGCTTCTGCTGCCTTTCCAGACCGCGTTTCCCATTGAGCCTGCGTTCTTTTTGCCCCTTGGGTCACTCAGGTACCTTACTGGCCGAGCTGCGGGAGTATAACCTGGAGCAGCAGCGGAGAACGCACTCGGACGGCCCTTCTCCCGATGGAACGCCGGACGACCACCCCCACCTGACCAAGCTGAAAGGGAAGATGCAGAGCCGGTAAGAGCAGACGCCTTCGGAGCCGGAAGCAGCGTTCCCTCGGATTTACTTTCCCGGGAAGCCTGTGCCGTATGCAGAGTCCCCGTCCCCTTCCCAAAACTGCCAGCCTTGGCTGATCATGGCCTGTCTGTCTCCAAAGCATAGTTGCTATTTTGTTTGAAGAAAGCTAAATTAGGAGGGGCAGTGTAAGTTTCTGTAACAGTCAGGCCTGTTGAAATCTGCACCATCGAACCATTCTTGTGCTGCTGCCTCATGGCAGGGATCTGGCCATGCGGGGCGGGGCGTACACTGAGGGTTTCGGAAGTGTCAAATAAAGTTTGTTTCTTTCTGTCACACTCCCGTTCCTCCTCCCCTGCAGGTTTGACACGGCGGAGAATGTGGTCATTGTGGCCTCGCACAAACGCCCACTGGGTGGCCGGGAGCTCCAGTTGCCTTCCATGTCGATGTTGACGTCCAAGACCTCCACGCAGAAGTTCTTCCTCCGCATCCTGCAGGTCATCATCCAGCTTCGGGACGCCACCCGGCGAGCAAACAAGAAAGCCAAGGAGACGGGGCGGCTAGGTACTGGCGAACATACCAGTGGGAATAGGGTGGTGCTGCCGTTTCGCACGAGCGTGACCCCGCTGTGGTGCGCCACATGTCCATGTATCCCAGGCGCCAGCTGGACACGGCCCCACATGCTCTCCTAAGAGCTCAGGGACCACTTCAGACTAAAACCCCCGCTGCCCCCTATTGGCAGTGTCCTCCGGCCTTCTCGAGAGAATGCAACTAGCTTAGGAGAGCCAGTTATTTGCTGCCCTTTCCAGATTTCCATACGTGGTCGTCGAGATGTGCTGTCAAATTTAATTCTCCTTGTTTTCTTCTCATTGTTCCTGATCAGAGCAGGGGCGGGGTTGAGCCACGTTATAACTCACCGCACTGCTCTGCGGAGAAGTGGCTGGAGGTGGTGGCCCTCCGGTGGCATTGCTCCTGATCAGAGCAGGGGCGGGGTTGAGCCGCGTTATAACTCGCCGCACTGCTCTGCGGAGAAGTGGCTGGAGGAGGTGGCCCTCTGGTGGCATTGCTCCTGATCAAAGCAGGGGTGGGATTTAGTCGGGTTGTAACTCGGTAGTGAAATGGTGGGAGGGTGTACCGTTTCTTTGGGGCAGCAGTGCCATGCCGTGGAGAAACAAAGTTGACCAGCCTCTCTCTTTCCCCACCAACCCCCCTCTGCCTTCCTTCTGTGTCTCCTTCTTTCTCAGGAACCTCGACGATGGGTTCGGCAAGCAGCATCCAGGCAGCTGTGCGGCAGCTGGAGGCTGAGGCTGACGCCATAATACAAATGGTACGTGAGGGCCAACAAGCCAGAAGACAGCAGCAAACAGCCATGGTTAGCATGATGCCTGTGCCGCTTGCAGGGCACTTGTGGTTTTAGTTTCTTCGTTTCTTTTTTTTAAATTTCTATTCCTTTTCTTGTCAGCCGTGCATGGGGTCGTTTCGTTTCGTTTTGTTTCTGACCGGAGCGCCGTTTTAATTTGCGTTTGTTTTGTGTTCTCCCGCTACCGTCGCTGACCTCGTTCAGTCCCTCCATCAGTGACGAGCTCCCCGGGAGTTTGCTCTCTGTATCCTTCGAGGCTCTGGAGGTGGCCTGTTTCATTTATCGTCACCCCCACCCTCTGGTTCTCCGCTTATTGAGAAAACGCACCACCCTTGGCTTTGTTGTGTTTGTATTGCAATCAGGGAGCACTGACTGTCCAAAACACTGCATTCCAGAATGTGATTTGGAATCGTATATCTTGCCCTCGTTTTGTGTGTCTCGCTGTCTATCTAAGTCTCGTCTCCGTCTCGTTGTCTCTGTCTGTTTGTCCGTCTCCGTCTCGTTGTCTCTGTCTGTTTGTCCGTCTCTGTCTGTTTGTCCGTCTCTGTCTCATCGTCTCTCGCTGTTCCTGTCTGTCTGTCTGTCTCTATTACAGCCTGAGATCACCATATCACCGAGCCCCTGATTACCAGCTCTCTTTACCGACAAATTCATTAAATTCAATGATTTTGAGCAGGCTTGGAGGTTTGTTGCCACATGGCATGGACATGACAGGTCATGGGTTTGGACACTGCTGTGTTGTGTTGTGTTGACAGCTCACCCTGCGGGTGGGTACAAACATCTGATCATCCTGTACCCCAGACACAGGACACCATGCTCCGAGGTGTTGAGAGTGAATTTAACCAGCCTCTGCTGTTCAACCTGACCTCAAAACTCGCCTTGCACTGACTCTCCGTGCCTGTATTTCAGTCAGACCATTGCTCACAGTGCTTTGTCCCTGCCACCCCTAGCTTGGTGGGCTGCTTTAGACCGGGACAATGGAATTGGTCTCCTCAAGGGGCTCACAAAGCTCTGTGTGTTGTGCAGAGAGGGAAAGCTGAAGTGGGTACATGTGATTGGCACTGTAGAGAGTCAGTGCAAGGCGAGT